AGCTCGCCATACGGGAGCCGTTGTAGTACGTTCATGATATCGTAGAAAGCTCGGTACGAGACAGCGCACAATTTAAAGCCCTATAACAGTAAACAACACCAAATATAAACGCAGAACACAGGATCTGACACGTGTTACGCGCGCGTGGACGTCCTTGTGTGTGTGTGTGTGTGTCGTGCGTGCGTGGGCGTGCGTGGCGTGCGTGTGTGTGCTGTGCGTGGCGGTGTGCGTGTGGTGCGCATGCTGGTCGTCGTGTGTGTGCGTATGTGTGCTAATGTGCGCGTGCGTGTATGTGAAGCGCGTGTGGGCGCACGCAGCTGAGATGTAGAAACGCATAGTTCACGACACTAACCCTAAAATCTCTCACAGAAATAATCAGATCAGATGTTAATCAGAGTATTAAAATTCGACCACGATCGCGCCTTTTTACCCCTTCTCAGTCATTCGCGCAGGATATGGACGCTCATAAACTCGTCCACATGACCAACGAATAGCCAACAGAAAAATGTTCTATGGGGCCTGGAGGAATTTTTCTTCGCTTCCAGAAAGCAACTATGAAGGGCGTCTGATATGTTTGCGGCCGCGCCACCCACCTCTGTTAAAAGAATGACGACCTGTGTGTGAACGACCACCCGCCAGGCAGATAACTCACCACAGCACACACACAACACACCCACACACACGACACACACACACACACATCACACACACACACACAACACCAACACACACACACATACATCACACGCACACACATCCACTCTTCTTCCCACACACACATACACACATACTCTCGCTCTCTCTCCACACACATCATCACACGACACACAGCACACACACAGAACACACACACACACACACACAGCACACTCACACAACCCATCAACACACACACACCACACACACACACACACACACGCACGCACACAAACCTCTCTCTCTCTCTCTCACACACACACCACACACACACACACACACACCACACACACAGACCACAACACACACATGACGCACGCACGCACGCACACACACGCACGCACGCACATACACGCACGCACGAACACACACACACACAAAACAGAAACACACAAACATATGCACGCACTCACACACATGTGTGACCAGTAACTTAATGATTACGTTTTCACGCGATTGAAGCAATACAAGGACATCTGCAACATCCCACCGCCAGCGTGCAGATACGCAAGGCTCGGCCTATGGTAGTATGCGTATATATATATATACATACGGATAATTTCCGTTGCCATAGTAGATCCTTCCTAGTGGATAAACGGTGTTGTTCACGGTCACCGGTGGGCTGACCTCCAAGTTCCCGAAGTAATCCAGCTCTGTGGAGCCCGCAGACTGATACTCGACGAAAGCTACGTTCGGGCCCTGCGCGTTGAGGAAAAACCCGCAACGGAGTCAGATGACATTCGCGGACATTCTTTGCAGCACTGCGCGCTTTGCGATATATGCGATATATATATGTTTTGCGTAGATATTCCTCGGCACATATATCGGTGCAATAAACTCTAATGTGCGATATGTGTAAACCTTCGTGCTCGGTTCACTTGCGATATTACGAAAAAGATAAAGTAACAGGCAGATGGGTGGATGTACGAGTGGATGGATGGATGGATGGATGGATGGATGGATGGGTGGATGGATGGATGGATGGAAGGATGGATGGCTGGCTGGCTGGATGGATGAATGGATGGATGGATGGATGGATGGATGGATGGATGGATGAATCGATTGATGAGTGGATGGATGGATGGATGAATCGATCGATCGATCGATGGATCGATAGTTGGATTGATGGATAGATCGATATATGCTGTGTGATGTTTTCTCACCAGTATGTTCGTGTAGCCGTAGTCTTTCAGACCGTTAACACGCGGCGACTTGAGTACGGCAGACATCGGCGGGTTCTTCGGTACCTCCGTGTATCCAAACTCCAACTGATCCTGTACGCACAAAAACGCATGACGTCATTAGTTGACGTCATCCCAACTCTGTCGAGTTAGCGTAGAGCGTGAGTCAGCTTATAGGAAAGGATTAAGACACCTGAATCCTGCCATATCGTTGTTATGTAATAGCCTCGTTCCCAAAACCAAAAAACGTTCGACGCACAAAAAGTTAAACTCAAACTAAAGCAAGAAATCCAATTCCGAGTTCGACGCTAGCGAACCTGGTGGCCGGAGGTGTAAACGCGTTTCCGAGACACCAGGAAACTGGCACGTCTCGTTTGTGGTTTGATCGTCACGTCGCGCGGAGCGCAGACGGCAATACCTGTATACCTGGCTGGTATACCTGTATACCTGGCTGGTATACCTGTATACCTGGCTGGTATACCTGTATACCTGGCTGGTATACCTGTATACCTGGCTAGTATAGCTTTATACCTGGCTGGTATACCTCTATATCTGTATACCTGGCTGGTATACCAGTATACCTGGCTGGTATAGCTTTATACCTGTATATCTGGTTGGTATACCTGTAATCGGCTCGTATATACCTGTATCCAGCGGTCGTCCCGGCACACCTCGCGCGGACATGTGCGCACGGTCGTGCTCATGTTCTCCTCGATAAACGTCTGCATCTCTCGCACGAAGTTGCCGTTGGTGTCGGCGCGCGACATGAACACGATGTCGGCCGGCAGCAGGTTTGACGTCATCAGCCATGGCGACACCTTGAACTGAACGGTGTCCTGGAAGACGATGTCGTTGCCCTGCGATAGATGGAGCCACGTGCGTATTGTCGTGTGTTCGAAATAGGCTGATCCGCATTTGATAGCCGTGATATATAGCGTGCCCCATAGCCTGACCAATCTACTATATAATAGTAGAAAGAGTCGAAGTGTCGTTTTCCGTATCCTCCGAAACCTGTGCCGCGTGTGCTCACGCGAATCGAGCGTGGCGCCCCTTCTGGCGTCGCGAATACATTCCGCTACGTTGAAACGCGATTTTTCCATCGTAAAGGTAACTTTTTGGAGGCATTTTCTAAAAGTTATGTGCACGCACGAAGAAACATCGGTATTCATCGCGAAACCTCGCACCAACGTTTAAGTATCGCAAAATCCGCATGCGCAGTCCAAGCAGAGTACGTGAATCACGCTTGTAATTTACGTGCTCTCATCGGAAACCCGCCACTCAAATTTTAAATCGCAAAATCCGCATGCCGCAGTCAATCAGAGCATGTGAATCACGTGCTACCGCAACGTTCCAAGATCACGGCGTGGACGAAGACGGCTTGAAGTAAGTCTAGATTCAACCTTCATAATTTTTTCTAAACATGACTTACTTGATTTCTGGTATTTCCTGTACATCCAGCCATTTGTCAATAAACACATATCACACAGTGCCATGTCATATAAAATACTACAAAATACGTTCACTACTACCAGGGATAGAAAATAGGAGTCCGCATCCTGTAATTCTAACTAAATCAAACCCTTATAGGTATGAAACGATGGACGAGGGAGCTACCGCGTTTTCGTGTACTTTCGTTCTCCCCTCCCAGGCGCCCACACGGCATCGCTTCGCGCGCATAGACATAAAACGAATCGTTCGCCCGCTACATCAAATCGGCCCCGCTGCTTGCCATGTACGGACGTACGCACTAGCGGCAGGCGCGGTACAACGCTAGCTATCTGTAACACCCGCTGTTGACTTTTGGTCAGTCTACTGTCAGGTACTGTTCAAGGTATATAATTTCATTTTTTACATTCTTATCCCCCCCAATTTTCTCAACGAATTTCACGTTTCACAAAATTGACCCCTGCGACTGTCAAATCCGCCGATTTCCGCGATACCGCGAAAATCTCATCCCGGAGTCAGTATGTATGCGTGTGTGTGCGTGTGCATGCGCGTGCGCGTGTGCGTGTGCGTGTATGTGTGTGCGCGCCCGTGTGTGTAAATGTGGTATGTGTGTGCGTGGGTGCGCGTGTGATTGTGCGTGCGCATGGCCGTATGTGTGTGAATGCGCGGTGTGTGCGTGCGTGCGCGCGTGTGTGCAAATATTTGACAACGGGAGGTGTAACCGTGCCCGCGCTTACCCGGCTCCCAATGCGCTGACATTTTTAGACCGTTTCGATTCGAGCACACACATACCACACTATATATACCATAACCTTTTGAAATTGTGTTAAACTATTAACGTGTTTTCTCACGGGTTTTAATGATAATGTAGCTATACTAAAGTGTAGATTAAAGGATAAATAATAAGCATTTAATTAGGTGGACCCTTCAACCTAGCATAGCAAGCCACACTAACGCACGCACGCACGAACGGCACGCACGAACGCACGCACACACACCGGCACAGCGCGCACACGCACACACCAAAGACATTGCGGCTGCGGTGTATAAACAGCCAATCACTGCCGCGCACAGTTGTGAGACGAAAATTTAAGACAAACCCCAACGAGATGCGGCTGCAGTTGTATGTGTGTGTATGTGTGTGCGTGTGTTGTGCGTGTGTGCGTGTGAGTGTGTCGTGTGTGCGTGCTGGCGTGTGCGTGTGCGTGCTGGCGTGTGCGGTGTGTGTAGTGTATGTATGTAGCGTTGTGTGCGTGTGCGTGTGCGTGTGCGGTGTGCTTGTATGTGTGCGTGTGCATGTGCGTGTAATGTGTGTGTGTAAATTGGTATGGTGTGCGTGGGTGCGCTTGTGATGTGCCTGCGCATGCCGTGTGTGGGTGAATGCGTGTGTGTGTGCGGCCGTGCGCGCGCGGGTGTGCCAAATATTTTGACAACGGAGGTGTAACCCTGCCCGCCGCCGTCCACTGACTTTCAAGAACACTATATCTTCAAAACTACTCATGCATTTTATTTTTTTTTAGAATTTGACTTATTAATAAGCTTCGTACCAGAATGATATTTTCAAAAATAATATCTAAATAAGTGAAATTGTACTATGAAATTACCCCATTTCCTTTATTTGAAAATTGTATGTAATTTTAAGGTAAAATTTCAGATTTATATATATTTAGATACAATCTTTTAAACAAATATTGATATATGACCACGCTCATACATATCAGTATTTACTGTAAATACATCCTCAACTAAAAGGGAGAGATAAATGTGGTTAAACCGTCGTCCTCAAATCATACCCCACTCAAACCCGTCTAGAGGACGGGTAATAGCTAGTAATATATATATATAATATATATATATATATATATTAAGCCTAGTCAGCCAGTCAGTGATGCATGTATTACACACACGCACATACCGCACGCACGCACACACGCACACACACACACACACACACACCACACACACACACACACACACCACACCACACACACACCCCCCTCCCCCCCCCCACACACACACACACACACCACACACAACACACACACACCACACAAACACACGCGCCACACCACACACCACCACACAACCCCCCCTCCCCCCTCCCTCCTTCCCCCCCACACACACACACGTACGTACGGTACAGCTCATTCGCTGGCGCTATAAATTCGTGGCTTATAAATGCCAAACATAAAAGCTAATATAATGAGCCGCGTTGTTCTCACCTTCTTCAGTGCGAGATGCAGCCTGATGAAGCCATCGAAGAAGCTGTGAGCGTAGGAGAGCGCCTCCACCTCGTACTTGTGCGAGCCGTACGAACCCGGATACGCTATCGCCATCGACGCCAGCCGAGGCCCGATGAACTTCGTGCGACCTCTGTTTCCGAACACGCGCACGTAAGGTACCGACGTTTCGTCGATGAACAGGACGAGCTTGTAGTCCGGGTGCAGCTGCGGTGGCCCGTCTGCAAGCGATAGTGACAAAAGCACGCTGTAGATGGCGCCACGCTCCGCGACTAGGCCGTTTGAGCGCTGAGCGTAACAGCGCCTAGCCACATGGCTAAAGTTGGGTTGATTGTATATATATATATATATAAGATATAAGTGAGATATGCGTATGCAATACGTGAGATGTATCTCGAGAATTTAGAAGCGCCAGAACAACGTTTTGCTCGGGAGACCGGTCGAAAAAAATTGCACACCTATCAACTGCCAAAACTCCTGATCATGTTGGATATACGATTCCGAAATGTCTATATTATTCGAGCATGCAACGCGCCCCTTTCTTATATGTGTGGGAATAATGAGCGTAGCCATGACTAATTTCATCCTTTTCTACAAACAATAAACTTGCAATAAACGCGAAAATGTACACTGCTATTCAGGAAAGAGAAAAGTATTTTTATGACTAATATTGCAGTTAAATGTTAGTGGCACTTAACTTTATTGTGTATAACTTCGAGTAACTAGCTGGGGCCGGTTTCACGAAGCGTACTTAACTTAAGTATGATTAAATCACTAATCATACTTAACTTCCCGTAATTATGATTAGTTAATCATATTTAAAAATTTGTTTCACGAAGCGATTTAAGTACATATTTAACTAATCACATAATTAGCCGGCTTCAACATGAATAGACTGGTACTCGCTCCCCTCTCGGCTTAGTTACTCGATGGGGATCGAGTAATCGAGGTGGGAGCGAGTACCAGTCTAAAACAAATTACACTATATTCAATATGGCGGACGCCAAAAATATCTGCAAGTTCGGTACATGAAAAGGTATTAATTTGTAACTATAATGACTGAAGTAGTACAGCAAATCTTAGATAACTTAAATTTCCTTGGGAAAAAATTGAAGTAAAATTTCCAATTGTAAAATCTGCAGCGTTCTTAATATACTAGTACTACCTACATACTACTTCTAGTACTAGCAACTAATTATGATTAGTGGATTTAATCATGCTCCTGAGTAGAATTAAATATTGTGATTAACTTAATCATGATTAAAGTTAATTACGCTTCGTGAAACAGTCACTTCAACTTAAGTATACGAGAAGTTAATCATGATTAGTGATTTAATCACGATTCAATACTTAAGTACGCTTCATGAAACCGGCCCCTGAAGATTACCAATTAAAAAAATGATCTTGTGGCGAGTTAAAAACAGTCGAGTAGGGACCCTCGATATATAGCTAATATTAATCAGACAATTAAAATAAAAATACGATTAATAATAATAATAATAATAACAGCTTCATCGGTGTATCACCACACACGTCGGCCACAGACCTGAGTGGACCCTCATGGCGGCCAGGTCTTGCAGATCCGGTGGACCGGAAACGACGTCGTCGTCCGAATCGCGCATGTGCGCGAATGTATTGCCTGCGTCCTTGTCCAGGTTAGCCAGCACGATTGCCCCGTGTCCGTTCGGACCCCACGCCCACGAGTTCTGTATTAAAGACAAACACGGCGGAGCGTTACGCGCCCGCCCGAGAAAACGCAGACGGACTCATCTCCACCTCGCCACCTCTGGTTGTGTAAACCTAGCTCCTCGATGTCATTCGCGCCGCAGCTAGGGATATTGGATCTGCTAAGTTCCGGGATTTGTTTAAGATATAGCCGTTGAAGACTCCACACGGAACTATGAGGGATGCGTCACGCGTTTCTATAAATTCTTATATTCTAACCAATGTCGGATTCTAGCCATATTTGGGTCACGCGAAAGAACCCCCCCAAGACTGTTCTTTATAGACAAGTGTCCGTACTATAGAGGTGATTTCGCTGTATAATTGCCACTCGCGGGGAACGCCAAAGGTTTCCTTCATAGGCAGGTGGCCGTTCTGTAGAGGTGACCGCTATAACAGATTTGGTTATTTACCTTGTACGGACTGTTGACATCGACAACACCGTCCCTGTCGGTGTCGACATCTAGCGACAGCCAGATGACAGTCAGTTTTAGCTCGGCTTGTCCAACTCTCAAACCCTTAGCTCCTTCGAATTGAAATATCACCTAAACGTAAAAATTAACACAACGTTAGTACTCTTTGTCGTTGGAGTAGTCCTATGTATACATGCGTGTTAACGCGTGCGTCACACTCACATGGCGAATGGCAGTATTTCTGGAGTCTGGTAGTTATTTTATACGCGCTCTGTCCGATAATTCATGGTTATAGATATATACAAAGTATACAGGAAAAAGTCAATGCCCTATGTATACGGAGTATTAAGATAAAATCACACAGGAAGTGAATTACCGTTCGACGCTAACGGAAACCGCTCATGAATTTTCTGCGGTGCATGCACGCGCGCGGGTGTGTGTGTGTGTGTGTGTGTGTGTGTGTGTGTGTGTGTGTGTGTGTGTGTATGTGTGTGTATGTGCGTGTGCGTGCGTGCACGCGCAAGGGTGTGGTGTGTGTATGTGCATGTGCGTACGTGCACACGCGCGAGTGCGTGTGTGTATGTGCGTGTGTGTATGTGCGTGTGCGTGCGTCCGGGCGTGCGCGTGTGTATGTGCGTGTGCGTGTGTGTATGTGCGTGCGTGCGTGCGTGCGTGCGTGCGTGCGTGCGTGCGTACGTGCGTCCGGGCGTGCGCGTGTGTCTGTGTAGCGCGCCGTCTCACCCGTTTGTCGTTGGGTGCGTGGCTGATGTTCGTCGAGTGGACGATGGCGATAGTGTAGGTGGGTTCGTGTTCGAGCGAGACGATCACGCCCCGCTCACCGTCGGGGTTGAAGGCTTCAACCTTCGTGGCTCCGTCAGGAGAGACTCTGTGAACGAGGAGAAGCTCGCGAAATGAGTGTAACATCATGGATATTAATTATCTTACTTCATATTACTATAATTATTTTATATATTACTATATATTATTACTTATATTAATAGAGAGAGAGAGAGATAGAGAAATAGAGAGAGAGAGAGCGTGAGAGAGAGAGCGAGAGAGAGAGAGAGAGAAGAGGAGAGAGAGAGAGAGTAAAGGAGAACAGAGGAGAGCGAGAGAGGAGAAAGTAGAGAGAGAAGAGAGAGTAGAGAGAGAGAGAAAGAGAGAGAGAGAGAGAGAAAAAAGAAGAAAGAGTAAGTAAGAGAAGAGTAGGACAGAGACACTGAGAGAGTATAATATAGGGTGGAGAGGAGACGAGACGGAAATAGGTGAGAGTAGAGAGAGAGAGGAGAGAGAGAGAGGAGAGAGGCGCGAGGGAGAGAGCGAAAGCGAGGAAGTAGGGCAGGGGGGAGAGAGAGGTGGAGGCAGACAGGTAGAGGCGAGAGAGAGAGATGAATGGTGGAAGGAGGAAATAGTGGCTATTGAAGGAACATATGCAAGGAGGAAATGAGTCTATAAGTGAGTACATGCGCATGGATATAGGCGAGGGCCACTGTAGCGTTAGTAGTCTACGGAGTGAGGTCGAGTAATCAGCCTATGCAAAGTTCCCCTGGCCATTGTAAGTTTTTGCCGGGCATATATTGAAACTCGGTGGCGGGCAGATTATGAAGTTGTGTTCGGCTGACGATCCTGTACGGCGGTCTGGCGCGTGCGCAATGGCGACGCCAGCTTAGCATGGCATGGCCGCCTGTACTCAGGCGCCATTTCTACCCACATTGCCGATCTGTAGGCGGCAGACGATCAGGATCCGCGGACCCTCCTTCGCGGGGTAATCACGGGATCCAGCGGCACCGGCTCAGGCGCACATAACGCGCTATGGCTATGCAGCGTCGGCGAAGCCCACACACGCAGCAAGTGCGCGGTACGGACCGCAGCACACTACGGCGCCGCACAAACGGGCAGCAGCACTGACACAGTCACACACACAGGCGACACAGCACACACACATGCAGCACCCCACACAACCACACACACACACACGACACACACGCCGGCGCTACACGCCTATTATAGAGGATTTTTGACTTGGTCTAAAAATAGCAATATTACCTACAATCCCGTGCCGCCGGCCATACCGGTTACAAAAAGAGCGAACACGTGTCGCGTGTAGTGTGCACGCCCCTATGCACAATCAACCGATTTTACATTGGCTATATTGTTATTATTGCAATAGATATTAGAAGTAAGAGGATCCCGATTTACCAGACAGGTTTATCAGCGTGGGCTTTAGGTGTTGCAGTTCAATGAGGCTGCCACACAGCCGGCAGATGCGTAGATTGAGCAGATCGAAAGATTGCACGCAACACATATTATGTTCATAAACTTGAATTTGTTTACACCGTGAGAGTTCAGAAATTTCACCGATGTTACTGCATCTACTCTAGCTATCAAACGCAGCTTTTTATAATAGCTAGTGTATGCACGTTTGTCGACTGTCTGTAGTGTACGTAGTATGGATAAGTACTTTGATTCACTAGACAACGTACCCAAAGCACGCTATCTCGAGAAAATTGCGTGCATTGGGAATCGACACCCGTACGAGAATGGAGCGAGGACTACAACTTGTGCCCATCACATACTTATTTGGATCTCGTGAATTGGCTACCTAACATTCTAGCTGAGATCATTTTATACTCTAAAGAACTTTCAGAACCACAAAAGCCTGGATGCCCACGATCGACTGTTCTGCGGTTGGGTGTATCAGTCTACACCTATCATGTGAACAGTGGGAGTCCCATCTACGTTATCCGAGCACGTGTTATGCACTACCAGTCTCTGATTATACCATCTCTCTATTCGTGCATGGGTCACGATGAGAGAATATGGGACAGGCATCATGTCAGCACACTGTAATTGTAAAGACGGGCTGGGTGAATTCTGTTCACATGTTGCCTCGGTGCTATTTTATGTAGAGTATACGTGCAAGAGAAATCACCACCCCCAACTCAAACAGCTGCCTACTGGATGCCGGCGATATATGTATATAAGCGTAAATGTGTAGCGGCGTGCGCCGTGCGTGCGGTGTAAATGTGTGTTGCAGAGGAGCATTTGACCGGCATTTACAAGTAATTATCGGCAATACTAGGCGAAAGAAAGTAGAGAAACATTAAGACATTGGTAGTAAATACATTTCGTGTTTATTCAGCATTGCTTTTTTTATTGAAAATGCTCCAAGCGTTTGTGGTCCGCCTGGTCTCTCGTCACTTTACCTTGTGTTGTGATCACACTAGGCAGCCTAAAAAATCTGTGTGGCTCTGATACCGATTGCTGCAGTTGACAACACCGCAGGAGAGCAGCGTTGTGATGCATTTTCTTAATAGGCGAATAAAATGAGCGGAGGTGCGCTGCTCAATGTACTTGTACCATGCCTGAACTGGTTTCTGTATCCGTCAGGGCCGGCGGCATTGCATTGTGGGTAATATGAAAAATCGCGGAACCCTCTTAAATCTCGTAACGAGCATACAGGCGATATGAGCTTAACACAGCGATGCTCCGGGGAAATAACAATGAGACAGCAAGATCAAACGTTAGCTCTCGTTACGCGATACGAAGGGTCACCGACCCAAATTGCGATCGCGTTTATAACGTGTCTATTGTACAGGCGTGCGGCTTGCGCGCGTGGGGACAACCTCCAACCAGCTATCACGGGCCGACTCCCCCGGGCCATCCACTGTACTACTTGCAGTCAGTGTGTGCCCACACACGAACGCGCACGCACGCACGCACACACGCACGCATATACGCACGTATACGCGCACGCACGCACACACGCACGTATACACGCACGCACGCACGGTCCATGAATGCGCGCATGCACGCACCCAAGCAGACACTCACGTGCACACACACGTATCAATCACGTTCTCATTGTAACACGCGCAGCGTGAGTTCGTATATGGTGCACGGAGTATTCTCCCAACGCTCATCTACGAGCGGCGAGTGAAACATAAAGAGGGAGAGAGAGAGAGAGAGAGAGAGAGAGAGATAGATAGATAGATAGATAGATAGATAGATAGATGGATGGATGGATGGATGGATGGATGGATGGATGGATG